GAGCTGTTTTAGGTAGGCGTGGTTGACTCTTAACTTTTATAAAGAATATCTCTTTGGATTTGAGACTTTAGTCTTTGCAACTTTACAGATCTTCTTTATGCACCAAGAGCTTGTAACACTCCAAAGAGAAAGGAAAACTTGAAATCGCATCATATGACCCCTTTAATGTTCTGTCAAGTTTCTCTCAAAGTAATGAAAAAGAGTTATTCCGGTAATGTTAACAGAATGTTCGTTCAGAGTTATCTGGTCTTTACTAATGTTCTCAAAACATTATTTCTACATCATTCATGGAATGTTTTATTTCGGAAACATTTAGTTGGATGTTCATCTAACATTTTTTAAAATGTTGCTACTTGTTTCAGCATATTCAGAGAACATTCAAAAATAATATGCCCATAATGTTTGGAAAATTATAAAATGGAATGATCCCTTACCGTTCATATAACAAAACAAAAAAAAAGTTTTTAAAGCATTTTAAAAAACTGGGCATTTCGAATGCTCAGAGAACATTTTCATAACTTAATGGCAATGTTTGCAAAACATCCTTAGAGCATATTTTTGTTAGCTTGTGTTGCATTAAAATAAAATTCTAGGGCTGTCCCATTGTCAAAATTGTTCCACAATGCACTGTAAATCACTTATATCCTGCTTATATACTGTCATGGTTCATGTCTCACGATTCAAGAGAAATGGTGGATGAGTGGATATGTCATCATGCCACTGTACTTTAACAGCTACTGCGAAGACGCATGCTAAACAACACAAATCATACTAGAAGGGCACTAGTCCTGGAATATAATACAGTGATGGTGTTGATAAATACCAGTGACATTTATGTGTGACCCAGTTTTCAATCAGTGCCCCAATGTTTAGTGGCCCTTGCGAGTGCCTGAATTTGTGTTCACGATATACTGATTCACAACCTATAGGGAAATGGGGAGTGTAATGGGACACAGCAGCAGAAGCCATGAAAGACTTCCAAAGAAATTCAAAGAATCTCAGAAATATCAATAAATTTAAAGTTGTCCATGAAGAAAAGAGGTAACATTCTTTTGTGCAAGGCTGCTTATCAGATGAAGGACAAAGTAAACAGAATTTACTGCTGCTAAAGTTACAAAATACAATACTGATTCTACTTTTCAGTTTATTGTTTAGGTACCAGTAATGTCATGTCAAGTTCAGTAGTTTGTGTGATTAGCTTAAGCAGGTTGTGTTTGTCTATTATTGTAACTTGTTTGAAGTGTAGCTTTATAATGCAGAATTCCACTTCATATTGTAGAAAACTTTTCTTATAACTGTAGCCAAAGTAAAATGTGTACCTTGATTTTTTTTTAAATGTAGTAACATGTTCACTAACCTAATAACCTACTAATAAAATGGTTACTTTTTTATTATTGTTACATTTCTTTTATAGTTAATAAAATATGTGTCTTCTTGGACACTCTTATCATACAGTTGAGGTCAAAAGTTTACATTCCCCTTTCAGAATCGGCAAAATATTAATTATTTTACCAAAATAAGAGGGATCATACAAAATGCATGTTATTGTTTATTTAGTACTGACCTGAATAAGATATTTCGGTAACACTTTATTTCGATAGTCCACTTTAGGCATTCTATTAACAGTAAGAAACTTTGCAACTACATGTCAACTAGCAGTTAGTAGAGTATTAGTAGACTGTCTGCTTAATATCTTCTAACACTTTCTTTGTCAACTTATTCTACTAACCCTAAACCTACCATAACAGTCTACTCTGAGAGTTAGTAGACATGTAGTTGCAAATTAATGAGAATTAGTTGACAGTTTACATATAGTCCACAAGAGAAAATAATAGGCTAGTTGAATATATAAAAATGACCCCGTTCAAAAGTTTACATCCCAATGATTTTTAATATTGTGTGGTTACCTGAATGATCCACAGCTGTTTTTTTTTTTGTTTGTTTAGTGATAGTTTGTTAATGTGTCCCTTGTTTGTCCTGAACAGTTAAACTGCCTGCTGTTCTTCAGCCATCCATCTTTTCACACTGAGGACAACTGAGGGACTTTAATAGCTGCATATGAGTCCCTCAGTTGTCCTTAGTGTGAAAAGATGGAACAAATACACAAATATTCTGCAAAACCAAAGAATTTGTGGGACCTGAAGGATTTTTCTGAAGAACATCAGGCAGTTTAACTGTTCAGGACAAACAAGGGACTCATGAACATTATCCCTAAACAAAAAAACAAAAAAACAGCTGTGGATCATTCAGGTACTGTAACAAAACAGTATTAAGAATCAACGTAAACTTTTGAACGGGGTCATTTTTATATATTCAACTAGCCTATTATTTTCTCTTGTGAACTATATGTAAACATCTTTTATGTGAAATATCTTATTCAGGTCAGTACTAAATAAACAATAACATGTATTTTGTATGATCCCTCTTATTTTGGTAGAATAATTGACATTTTGCAGATTCTGAAAACTTTTGACCAACCTGATATGTTTGGAAGGAATCTTCTCTTACTGTGTCAAAGTGTTGATCTAATTTTTCAATCATGTCTAAATTGACTCTATTTTCACGAGTGCAACTTTTGTTTTGATTTATATTAGTTAATTGGCAATGCAGCCATTTCAGTTTTTAATACCATACCTGTTGCTTTTTAAATCACCTATAGCTAGATTTGTTGGTGTACTCTTACAAGCAGTTTTCTTACCATAAAGTGACCTATAATAAAATATACATATCATGTAAATGGAAATTAATGTAAAAAAAAATGTTATGCAGCACCTCATGAGCTCTGAGAAACGAATATACGTATGCTCTAACTTAAAAAAGCATTTCTTCAGAAGAGTATGCCACTGCCAGACTTTAAGAAAAAATCCACGTGCCACTTAAGTCACGAACCTTACAGGAGCTTATGATCCACTAGATGGAGACAAACACCTAGTACTTCCTAACCGTTTTAACAAGTGAAAACTAAAAGAGAAGCACATTTTGTGACTGATCAGAGCCAGCTTATTTTGATATATGGAAGTTTTTGTTTAAATTGCATTTAAAAACAATACTTTATATAGCATAATAGTCACACACATTTTAAAATATTAAATTTAATCAAAAGCGAGTTAAAGAATTTCCTGCAGATATTTCAGCTTTAGCACGAGCAAGATTAAAATAAACGTCTTTAAATAGGCTATGCCACGATATAACACAATACCTATTAAGTGGGCGTAGCACAAGCCCCAGTGATATTCTGCTGTGCTTCAGTAAACCGTACTACTAAATCCTTCTCTGACTAGGGAGCAGCAGCATACTAATCCTAGAGACATTTTCCGTGAAAATCATGTCGTCTGCCCAGTGTTTTTGGTGGTGGTTCGGAATTATTACTGCCGAATACCGAAGCAGGAATGAATGACTCATTTGAGTCAGTTCATTTCAATGAACCGCTCAAACTGTAGCATAACAGTCGGAATCGGTTCGCGATTCAGTAAGAATCATTCGACGCACTGAATCGTTTTGTCCTTATTGTAAAACAACACTTAAAGGGGTCATATGATGCGATTTCAAGTTTTCCTTTCTCTTTGGACTGTTACAAGCTGATTGTGCATAGATAAGATCCCTGAAGTTGCAAAGACTAAAGTCTCAAAACCAAAGAGATATTCTTTATCAAAGTTAAGACTCTGCCACGCCCCCCTAAAACGGCTCATTCTAACACGCCCCCACATATCTACCCCACTATGTGGAAATATTTGCATAATGCACCCAAAAGAATACTTACAACAGAACAGCAATGCATTTTATGGACGACCGTTTCGTGAACCTAGGAGAGGAGGTAATTCTGACTTTGCTATGACAATCTGGCGCTTCTGAATCAGCTACTGTTTTGTTATTAGTTTAAGTATTTGCTATTGACTGTTCAAATGCGGAGTTTTGCGCATCGTGTGTGTGTGTGAGAGAGAGAGAGAGACAGCGTCACATCACAGTAGAGTCAGCTGTCTTAACCGCGGCTTGTGTACTGCATCATCACTGTGTCTGTCACGCGACTCTGTTCCCCTTTCGCAGGCTGTCTTTACATTTATTTTGAAAGATGAAGCTCGCGATTATAGTAAGGGGTGTTACATTTCCGACGAGTGCTTGCGGTGTTCGGCCAATCACAATGCACTGGGTCAGCTGGCCAATCAGAGCAGACTGCGCTTGTCGGAAGGAGGGACTTTGTAGAAAACGAAGCGTTTGAGAGAGGCGGGGCATAGAGGACCTACAATAATGTACAGTATTTGAAAAATAATGTGTTTTTTGAACATTAAAGCATGTCAACATATTCTGTTACACCAAATACACAAAATAATGATCTTTAAAAAAGCATCATATGACCCCTTTAAGACCCTGGATGAAGTGGAATATTTATCTACAGTTTTTTTTTTATCAAATCTGCAAATAGATCCTGCCAGCGATGGAGATTTATTAGGCTGCTCGTGCAGCGTGCTAACATCTCATCCAGGTAAATACATTTTCAAACGAAAATAACAAACAGTACACGGAAGTACTTAAAGTACCAAAAAATGCATTGCATATTGCATAAACATTGCATATATCTTGCAAATATCATGGCACGTGAATATGTTAATCATTCAGAATCAGCAGTATTAGTATTACAATAGTATTTATCTTATCGTGCCCAAGTAGGCTACTAATGAAAGGCTATAGTAACACCCCTGGTCGTGACATGACAACAATAACCTATAACAATAGGATTCATGCTTCCAGTTACTGAAATTGTTCTTCACATAACTGCAGTGCGCAGGTGTCTCGTTGTTGGTGATGTCCCTCACACCACACCGTAGTTCGCCCTCCCTCCCTCTCGAGGGAGGAAAGTTTGGACAACCGCAAGTGTCACATCTGAAATTCTCTTGCATCAAGGATTTCGATGACCTATAAGAGGCATAACAGCGGAAAACACCTTCGCAAACGCAGCAACTCATATGAAAGGTAAGTGTATATTTATAAAAGCGGGTTGTCTTCATGTCTCGTGAGCTTTCACTGAAGAGGAAGCGCGAGTTGGCCAAGCGCTCTATGTTGCCATGGCAACGAGGTCCGGAGCGGCAGTGTAATTTCTATCTCACTAATGTGCACCTAAATAAATCTAACTCGACCATTTCTCGCGGAAAATACAATGAAGATGTCTCCGTAGTCGCATAATGTAAGTAGAACCATTATGCTGAAAGCTTTATGCTACTTTAATTCTGTTTTTGCACCTCAACACGACTAATTTTGCTTGGCTAATAACTATCCATTAGACGTGAGAAATTAGAAGAATAAAGAATACAGAAATAAGTTTTTTTTTATTCTATTAAAAAGCCAGAAAGAGAAGTAGGCTATATGCAGTTATGTTTATAAAATGAAGTGCTCAAAGAGAAGAACTTGATTTTAGCACACTTAGGATATAGTCACCTAGCCACTCCATACACAAGCATAGTGGGTGTTTTGAAATATAAGGGAGCAATAAAACATCTATTATTATGCAGGTTCTATGCCAGATAATTATATTTAGCTGGAACAGGTCACAGGGAGTTAATTGCTACTTGCACGAGATTTAAATAATTATTGGCTTTAAGCTACTGAATATTGGTTGCCGTGGTTGTGCCAGGTCTCATTTTGTCCTACAAAATAGGCTTTGTCTATGTTGCAGAGTGAGGTATGAACTAATATTTAGTATAGTGTCATTCTATCATTCTATAAGCAAATACGGTCAAATTTATGAGATAGGAAAATATATATATTTTTTAAATTAAATAAGATCAAATTCTCATGACATATAGGCTGTGTCTGAAAGCTGAAAAAAGCTGCCTTCTCAGGCAGTGGCCTATAGGAAAGCATCAAGGCATGCCTGAATTCATTGTTTACATCACATCCTGTATATTAAAATGCCTTATCTGGTTGGATTTTGAAGCGTAGATGTGTCCATCGCTTCCTGTGATATCCCAGTCTATGTGGTGTGTGGGTTGGCAGTTGGTGGAAAGAATAAAACAGATACAGCAACTGAAAGGAGTAAATTCATTTATTTATATATTTATATGTCAATGCTTTTATTTTATTGAACTTCGAAAAATAAAACTAAATATAAGTAGTTACATAAAAATAGTTGTCACTATTTGATTTTCTTCTAGAACGTTGCAAATGATGTTTGGGTGCCTTGGAAGCCTGGCTGAAGCCATTTTCCTTTCAAGGTACATTCATATGCAAAATACTGCCTGTCATTGAATAAAAAAGAAGCAAGGTAGCTTTGGTCAGTTTTGGACACAGCCACAATGTTTTACAAACAGAACTGGTCAAATATTTTCTGTATACAAATAAAGGTTCTTTATTGGCATATGGTTGCATGAAGAACCTTTAAAGGGGTCATATGATGCGATTTCAAGTTTTCCTTTCTCTTTGGAGTGTTACAAGCTCTTGGTGCATAAAGAAGATCTGTAAAGTTGCAAAGACTAAAGTCTCAAATCCAAAAAGATATTCTTTATAAAAGTTAAGAGTCAACCACGCCTACCTAAAACGGCTCGTTCTGACCCCTTTAAAAATGGTTGTTTTAGGATTTGCTTACTGGAAGTTTTTTTGGGAACCTAAAAACGTCTTATGACTCTTACTGCTCTGCCCCTTATGTAATTCAAGCAGATTGTATTCCTATAGAATATTGTTATTGCAAAGTGCTGTAGATTAATCTGTATTTCACACTGAGCACTTCTGGTTTTACACTGTCACATAGCCTCAGGCGTTTCGCTCAAGTCTGTTGGCTTTTGTGCTTCTCTGGCTGACTTTTATTTCACAATGCCAGGCGTAACTTGAGTGCCCAGTGGTAGACACTGCTTGAGTCTGCTCTGTAAGAGGAGACAGGTCTTTCTCAGGTGGTTTTAGTTGCTGAGGCTCTCACTGATTTTCCACCCCAGCAGGCAATAGCACTTGGCCTGTAAGACTGAGGTTTCTCCTGACTGTGCACTGTCACATATTGATAGTAAGATCAAGTAGGATTTTTTTGTCTGAAGCAGACACTGTACTCTGTGCTTTGGCATCAGCAATCTACATATTATAATCTGGCACCTGTCTGGTGAGGTTTCTCGCCCAGACAGTGTGTCCAATGAAATGGCTTCCTGTCCAGAGTTAGTTTATAGTCTTTATACAGATAAACATTTTTTATTTATTTATTTATTTTTATTTGATTTTACTTTAGACTGCTTAGTCAGACTATAGGCTTGCACATAGTATCTCATCATCCAAGAACAGACATTTTCTTTCAAGTGCTCTCAGAAAATCTGTCACTTGTTGACAGGTTGTCAGTCACACTATCCACTTACATGCTTGTATCTCCTTATTCAGACGTCTTCATCCCAGCTCCCTTCTGTCATCAGCTACACAAGGGAGCGTGTCAGCTGTTGTACGGCTCTTTCTTAGGAACATTTGTTATCACATATGAACAGGGCTGCATGATTTGGGGGGGGGAAATCTAATCATAATTTTACTGATAAAAACTGTGATTGGGATTTAAAATGTGATTTTAAAAAAGAAAGCTTCAGGTTATTTTATATTTTATAGGGTAAACGTACCTATTAAGCTCACCAAAATCTACATTGAGACATTTTTAGTGCGCAATATATAGGTTTCAGTATAAAAAGTTATGTTAAAATAAAATATTAATCTCTCACACAAAATTATTTAATTTTATTTTAAATGACAAAAGCATTTCAATTAAGATATATATCATTAACTGCAAAAAGTCTGTCTGTGCTTAATGTGTAAATTTTTGTACCCTTTAAGCACACCCCTGTCCCCATTAAGCTCACTTCATGTTTTATTAAAAATTCTTGTTTATTTTAAACAACCTTTTTAAAGAATAATTGAAAAATTTTTTTTTTGAAGGTACAAAGTCAATCACAAAAAAACAGAACACTAAAATCAAGCAACAAAAGGCATTCAATTAGGGCTGGCGTCGACTAACCGGCGAAAAACCGCAAGTGGCGCATTTCACGGACAAGAATCCATAAAACACATTATTAGACTGTTGCTGCATGATATATTAAACCCATTTAAAAATCATAATGAAGCATAATTGTGAATTCACAAACGCTACGATTTAATTAAATAATTATATGCGATGCAGTTCTAATACAGTAAATGCGCTTTAATTAAGGTAAATAATTTATAAATCTACGCAAACACAGGAGAATACATTGCGGTTTCAAAAGAAAAGCTCAAACCCTCACTCTGAGTTTACACGTTTGATGTCCACATATTCTTTTAATTAAAGTGGCTATAGCATTTCTGTCCTAAAGAAATTGCCAAATATTAAAGATTAAGTTGACAATTTGAATAATCAAAGGCATCTCCAATTAATTTATTTTATTTAAGTTTTTTTTTTCTTTTTTTTTCCAGAAATACTGCACATTTACATTTTTATCCTAAATAAATTCTGGTAAATAACATTTCTGGTAAATACTCCTTTAAAAAGTGTTTTTTTATTATAATTTTATTAGTAGTAGACTAGAACACGTGGATATGTTGTCATTCTTACACTATAATACTGAACTTTGATTTCAGTGATTTGGACTATGAGATGGACACTTGCTTCTTGCACTTTATGCTGCACTTTACTTTTGCTTTAAAAAATGGATTTCATAGAAATTTGAATTTCATTTGGTTTAATAAAATATAGTTTCATAAAATATTCTTAAGTAAAATTGTTGATTTTTTGTGGAAAATTAATCGTTTAGATGAATCGATTAATCGATAATTAGTCGATAGATTAATCGAAATAAAAATAGTCGTTAGTGGCAGCCCTACATTCAATTTGATCAGTTATATATTCATAGTGAAGTGTCATTTAAGCGCATTGCAACATCTAGACTAGTCCACGTTCAGCTAAGTAACACATATTCAAAAATCAAATATAACAAACCAATAAAACATTTCATTCATGGGGATGAACACAGAAACTAGCCTATTAAATGGATGTCAACTTATCTATGGTCTCTTAAGGCTGGAATACACTACACAATTTTTCCCCTTGATTTTCCACCGATTTACAATCTGGAGAAGTTGATGCTAGTTGCCAGATGTCAGAGCCAGTCTGTAGATTTGAGATGACAGAATACATAGAAAATCAATTAACTTAACTTAAAGTGACAACCATCAGTTAATATGTAAAGTCTGTTTATGAAGTATTTACATAGACGTTCAATGTGGAAGAGCTTAAAGAGAGCACACTGAGCTTAATTGGAGCAGCAACAATTTTTAATACATTTTATGTAATATATATTAAAATGACAAGATTTCGCAAAATAAATAATCTAGGTCATGTATTAAGTTTATAAATATTTTATTATGAACAACTATTATTAACAATATCTATGAAATTATACTTTTTCTTATTGATGTCACACTGAAGCTGTGTGATTTTCATAGTAGTGCACCCTTTAAGCTCACCTTACAATAATATGAAATCTTTAAAAATAACAGCACTGTAAAACCACAGACCAGCAATAAACTGTCAATTTACAATATTATGGATTTAAAAGTACAAGCCAGTAAAGCCTGTGAAGTAATATATTAGCATAGCACACAATCTTATACAGATAGTCAGCTAACTGTGTTCTGTAGCATCTGTGCTATGTTGCTAAAACTATCTTTTGGATCTAACTGTAAGTATTTCCTACAGCCAAGTTCCAGGTTATAAAATGCTAAAGTATAAACATTAATCTCTTAATTTTACAGTAAGTAGTGAAACTTACCCAAAATAAAGGCTTAAACGTCTAAAAATGCACATTTAAAGGGCTCCTCTTTTGGTGAAAGTTTTTAGACAGCTTTCAAAATGGCCGCCAGACAGTGTGAACACATGGATACTCATATATCTCGGTGTGCAATCATCTGATTGACTTGAAATTACAGGAGGTATATAGTAACAGACACATCAATTGGTTAAGACATCAAGTATGATAATACAT